CCTAATTACTTTGGTAAAATTCTTTTGGGGAAGTTTTTTATGTTCCTGTAAAAAAACAACAACAAGCCTGATAGCACAATATCAAGCCTTCAACCTTTAGAGGGGGAGGTGCCAGTTGTCACTTAACGCCTCCTTATTCCAAATCCACCCTTCATTACTTTTCTTGTGACATTAGAACATTTCTTCATTGCCAGCAGGCTCAATTGTTGTCAGTAGGGGGTGCTAGAGGGCACAATTCATCCATGTGAGCAGGTGGTGTCCAACCATGGCCTCTTCCTACTAAGAACCCCAGTTGTAGGGGACTCTTGCTTGCCAGGCAAGGCCCATAGTATTCTGCCTGCCAGCCTCAGCTTCTGACTGTGTACCAGCTCTGGCCCAGATGACCCAGTGAACTTCCCTGTCATCCAGTGGTGGCAGTCACACCCAAAGAGACCTGTGTCCCAGCTTTAGGGAGGGGCTCCCTCCCACCCCAAGCTATTTCCTCCTTTGAGTACTTTCCCTCTGTCAGAGGGTATTCTTTAGAGTTTGCTTTTATTTCCTCATAGTAGTTCCCTTTAAATAGTTGCTAATTCTTTATATTAAACTTCCCTTTTTCAAACCATTGTGGTTACTGCCTCCTCACTGTCCTTTCATGGGCCATGATGCTGAAAATGCAGCACTTCTAATTCATACTAGTCACATTTTAAGGACTCAATGGCTATGTATGGCTAGTGGCTATTGTATGGGACAGTGCAGCTCTAAATCATGGTTTGACACATACTTAATGCGAGTGACACTTTGGGGGATAGTTTAAAAAAAAAGAAATTGCATAAAAAATATTGGACTTAATTCTGTAGCTTTATTGATACTAGAGGCCTGGTGCACGCATTCATGCATGGGTGGGGTCCCTCAGGGTGGCCTGCGGGGATCAGGGAAACCACAGCAACCCCAGCCTCGCAGCCCCGCAGCCCGACCTGGCACCCGCCTTGGCCTGGTGCTTCCCCCTCACCTGCTCCACCATCTCATCCTGCCTGCAGGTCAGTTGGGGCCAGGCC